CACCGCGCCTGGCCACATTACCTCTTCTTAACCTCAAACTTTTACAATCTTTCTCTTGCCTTTTGCTAAAGCCTCCAAGAATGTCAATCGTGGAAGGGACCTTACTGGTCTAAGTCCACATTCCATCTGATGTTGATATTCTCTTATTATTATTATTATTATTATTTTTTGAGACGGAGTTTCGCTCTTGTTACCCAGGCTGGAGTGCAATGGCGCGATCTTGGCTCACCGCAACCTCCGCCTCCTGGGCTCAGGCAATTCTCCTGCCTCAGCCTCCTGAGTAGCTGGGATTACAGGCACGTGCCACCATGCCCAGCTAATTTTTTGTATCTTCACCATGTTGACCAAGATGGTCTCGATCTCTCGACCTCGTGATCCACCCGCCTCAGCCTCCCAAAGTGCTGGGATTACAGGCTTAAGCCACCGCGCCCGGCTGATATTCTCTTTACGACACTACCAACCTGTGGTTTCCAAAGGCTCTATGAATATCAAAAATAACAGTATGCTCACTACGTCTTTTCCCAGGTTCAAACAATTCTCTTGACTCAGCCTCCTGAGTAGCTGGGATTACAGGCATGCCCCACCACGCCCCACTAACTTTTGTATGTTTAGTGGAGACGGGGTTTCACCATGTTGGCCAGGCTGGTTTGGAACTCCTGACCTTGTGATCCGCCTGCCTCTGCCTTCCAAAGTGCTGGCATTGGCTGGGTGAGGTGGCTCACGTCTGTAATCCCAGCACTCTGGGAGGCCAATGTGGGTGGATCCCCTAAGGTCAGGAGTTCAAGACCAGCCTGGCCAACAGGGTGAAATCCCATCTCTAAAAAAAAAAAATTAAGACGAAGTGCTGGAATTATAAGCATGAACCACCATGACTGGCCGAGATTCTGTCTATAAAAAAAAGAAAAAGAGAGAGAGAGAGAGAGAGAGAGAGAGAGGAGAGAGAGATAGAAAGAAAAAAGAAAGAGAAAGAAAGAAAGAAGAAAGAAAAAGAAAGAAAGAAAGTCTAAAGCAAAGGAGATTAATTATTCAGGCCCATTCTCCCACTTTCCAAAGCAGGAGTCAGTAGACAGAATATGCACTGGTGAAAGTGTTTCTAAGCACTAAACTAAGCTAACATTTATGGAGCTTACAAGAAATGGATGAAGAGCCCCACTTGACAGAGAGGAAAAGTGAGGCTTAGGAGGAATGATTTCAGCAAAGCTATACAGTAAGTGTCAAAACCACTGTTTGAACTTAGGTTTCTAACTTTGGGGCCAGTCTTCTGATTTTTGCTAATGAGAAACTTCAATTGCTCCCCGCCTCCGCTTACACCCAGAATGAATTTGATTTCTTTCTTTTTTTTTTTTTTTTTCTTTTGAGACGGAGTTTTGCTCTTGTTACCCAGGCTGGAATGCAATGGCGCGATCTCGGCTCACCGCAACCTACGCCTCCTGGGTTCAGGCAATTCTCCTGCCTCAGCCTCCTGAGTAGCTGGGATTATAGGCACGCGCCACCATGCCCAGCTAATTTTTTGTATTTTTAGTAGAGACGGGGTTTCACCATGTTGACCAGGTTGGTCTCAATCTCTCGACCTTGTGATCCACCCGCCTTGGCCTCCCAAAGTGCTGGGATTACAGGCTTGAGCCACCGCGCCCGGCTGATTTCTTTTTTTAGACGGAGTTTCTGTCATCCAGGTTGGAATACAGAGTGCAGTGGAAGTGGCAGGATCTCAGCTCACTGCAACCTCCACCTCCTGTTTTCAAGCGATTCTCCTGCCTCAGCCTCCCAAGTAGCTGGGATTACAGGTGTATGCCACCATACCCAGCTAATTATTATTATTATTTTGTATTTTTAGTAGAGAAGGGGGTTTCCCCATGTTGGCCAGGCTAGTCTCGAACTTCTGACCCCAAGTGATCCACCCACCTTGGCCTCCCAAAATGCTGGTATAATAGGCATGAGCCACCATGCCTGGCCTGCTTGCTTTTTTTTTTGAGATGGAGTTTCGATCTTGTTGCCAAGGCTGGAGTGCAATGGCACAATCTCAGCTCACCACAACCTCCGCCTCCTGGGTTCAAGTAAGTCTCCTGCCTCAGCCTCCTGAGTAGCTGGGATTACAGGCATGTGCCACCACGCACGGCTAAGTTTGTATTTTTAGTAGAGATGGGGTTTCACCATGTTGGTCAGGCCGGTGTTGAACTCCTGACCTCAGGAGATCTACCCGCCATGGCCTCCCAAAGTTCTGGGATTACTGGCATGAGCCATTGTGTCTGGCCTGCTTTTTTTTTTTTGTCACCCAGGCTGGAGTGCAGTGGCACAATCATAGCTCATTGACGTCCTAGGCTCAAGTGATCTTTCTGCCTCAGCCTCCCAAGCACCAGGTGTGGTGACACCTGGCTAATTTTTAAATTTTTTTCTAGAGATGAGGTTTCACTATGTTGCCCAGGCTAGTCTGGAACTTCTGAGTTTAAATGATCCTACTTCTTCAGTCTCCCAAAGTGCTGGGATTACAGATGTGAACCACCACACCTGGCCAGCAACTCCGGCTTTACTCTACCCCAGATAGGTTGTGTGACTTTACGCATGCCTCTGTGGGCCTCAGTTTGCTCATCTAAAATCAGAGGTTTAGCCAGGCATGGCAGCTCATGCCTGTAATCCCAGCACTTTAGGAGGCTGAGGCAGGAGGATCACTTGAGGCCAGGAAATCGAGAACAACCTGGACAACATGGTGAAACCCTGTCTCCACTAAACATACAAAAGTTAATGAGGCATGATGGTGAATGCCTGTAATCCCAACTACTCAGGAGGCTGAGGCAGGAGAATTGCTTGAACCTGGGAAACAGAGGTTGCAGAAAAAAAAAAAGAAAAGTAATATTTGAGTTGAGTCTTGAAGTCTGTTAGAATTTGGCAGGTAGACAAAACAGAGCATGCCACCGGGCATGGTGGCACATGCCTGTAATCCTAGCACCTTGGGAGGCCAATGCAGGAGGATTGCTTGAGCCCAGGAGTTCGAGACCAGACTGAGCGACATAGTGAGACCTCATCTCTAGGAAAAAATAATCAGCTGAGCATGATGGTGCACACCTTTGGTGTCAGCTCCTGGGGAGGTTGAGGTGAGAAGATTGCTTGAGCCCAGGAGGTCTAAAGGGACTGTGCCACTGCACTCCAGCCTGGGCAAGGGAGGGAAACCCTGTCTCAAGAGAGAGAGTGAGACAGGGAGAGAGGAAGAGAGAGAGAGCATTTCAAAGCACGGGGAACCACAAGTACAAAGGCATGAAGTAAGAAAATAGCATGGGGTGTTTGGGAAAGGCAAAACTAGTTCAGAACACAGGCTGTGTGTGTGTGTGTGTGTGTGTGTGTGTGTGTGTGTGTGTATGTGGTGCCTCTATGTGTGTGTGTATTTGTGTGTGAGTATGGGTGTGTGGGGGTGTGTGTGGAGGGGATGCCAGTGCCTGTGTGTGTGTGTCTGGGGACGTGAGTGTGTGTGTGTGTGTGTGCATGGGTATTGGTGAATGTGTGGGGGTGCCTGTATATGTTTGTGTTAGTGTGGAGGTGCCTGTGTGTGTATGAATGTGTGTGTGGGAGGGATAGTGTATGTGTGAGTGTGCATTGGATGAGTGCATTTGTGTGGGTGTGGATTCCTTTGCATGTGTGTGGATGTGGATGTGTGTGTTCATGGGTGTAGGTGCTGTGTGTATAGGGTGTGTATGTGAATATGTGTATGGATATCTGTGTGTGAGTGTGTGAGTGTGTGTGTGTCTGTGTGTGTGGATATTTGTGGGGGGATGAGTGTATGTGTTTACATGAGTATGTGTGTGGGGGTTCCTTTGTGTTGGAGGGATGAATCTGTGTGTGAGTGTGTGTCTGGGGGAATGCCTGTGCGGGGGTGAGTGTGTGTATGTGAGTATGTGTGTGTGTGTGCCTGGGTGTATGATTGTAGATGCGTTTGTGTGGGGGGTGGGGTAGAGTGCCTGTGTGTGTGAGAGAGAGAGTGTGTGGGTGACAGTGTGTGTGTGTGTGTGTGTGTATGCCTCTGTGTGGGGGGTGGAGTAGTGGGTGCCTGTGTGTGTGTAGGGGGTGTGTGTGTATATAGGGTGTGTGTAAGTGTGTGTGAGAGAGTGTGTGTGTGTAGCAGAATGGACTTCGGAGGTAGATTTGATCCTGATATGCGAGGTCTGGAATGCATGGAACATTCAACTTTATTCGAGGACAGGGCTTTCCAAGCACTCTAAGGAGCCGCCCTAGAGAAGGAGGAGCTGTGAGGACTCCAAGAGCTTCAAAGCAAGGCCCTCACTCTGCTTCAGGCAAAACAGGCCCACTTTTATCACCTTATCTATGGAGTTCTGCTTGATTTCATCAGACAAAAAAGTTCCACTGCTTAAACAGGCAAATAAACCAAAAAAAGTTATGGCCCACAGAGTCACTGGGGGGTTTTGTGCTGGGGAGGAGCAGGCCCGTGTTTGAAGAAACGCTGCGAGGTGACTGTGGGGATGTGTGGGGAACGGGGGGCCTGATGGCAGACCTTGGGAGTGGAAGTCTCTTTCTCAGCCTCCTCGGCTAGACAGGGGAATTATAAAAGGAGGTGGGGCATGCACATCTCTCCAGTAAGGGAGAGTCTGATGGAGTGAGGTCTCCCCCAGGCTTGGGGAAGTGTGTGTCATCTTTAGGACGTAGTCGTCCCTACAGACACCGGTACCAGCAGAGGGAAAGGGAGGGGGCAGAGGCAGGAAGTGGGTAACTAGACTAACAAAGGTGCCTGTGGCGGTTTGCCCATCCCAGGTGGGAGGGTGGGGCTAGGGCTCAGGGGACTTGTGTGAATTTACTTGTACCCCGAGGGCTCAGAGGGAGCACCGGTTTGGAGCTGGGACCCCCTGTTTTAGCTTTCCTGTGGCTGGTGAATGGAGATCCCAGGATCTCACGATCTCAGGTACTTTTGGAACTTTCCAGGGCAAGGCCCCATGATGTCTGATGCTGGGGGAGCAGACCTTGGGGGAGCCCCTTCAGCCCCTTCTCCATTCTCTCAGGGACCATGGGCTGTGGCTGCAGCTCACACCTGGAAGATGACTGGATGGAGAACATCGATGTGTGTGAGAACTGCCATTATCCCATAGTCCCACTGGATGGCAAGGCCACGGTAAGAGGCAAGACAGGGGCCTTGGTGAGGGAGTTGGGTAGACCATGCAACCCAGGAGGAAGAAATGACCAGCACTACAGGCCCTTGAAAGAACAGAGCGGCCCTCTCCCCTGGAATACAGGAAAGGAAAAGAGGCCTATAGAGGGAAAGGGACTCTCTTAAGATCACACAGCAAGTAGTTGGTCAATTCAGGGAAAAGACCCAACCAGGCCTCAGAGGCTGAGAGCAGAGGGGAAGGGGGCCAGGGTCTGATCCAGTCTTCTGCTCTCTGACTCCACTCTTCACCCCCCCACCCGACAGCTGCTCTTCCGAAACGGCTCTGAGGTGCGGGACCCACTGGTCCGCTACGAGGGCTCCAATCCGCCGGCCTCCCCACTGCAAGGTGACCCCAGGCAGCAGGGCTTGAAAAACAAGGCCTGCGGATCCCTGGCTGTCGGCTTCCACCTCCTCCCCACCTACTCTCTCCCCTGTCCTGCCTTCCTTGTCGCCTGCCCCGTAACTCCAGGCTTCCTGCCCATCTCCCTGACGCCCCTTGTCTTTACAGACAACCTGGTTATCGCCCTGCACAGCTACAAGCCCTCTCACGACGGAGACCTGGGCTTTGAGAAGGGGGAACACCTCCGCATCCTGGAGCAGTGAGTCCCTGACCACCTCGCTCTGGGGAATCCGGGAGGGAGCCGGGATCTCCGGTACCGCAGCCCTCCTGCGGCCCGCGACCGTCTAGGGTGGCCGCCCTTGGGACAAAATTGGAGGCTCAGGAGTGCGAGCCAGGGTTCGGGGAGGCTGGTTTAAGGGTTGCGGGGGGGTCTTTGAGGGATGGCCGCAGATCGAAGGCTGAGTGGGCCGCACTGACCCGCCTCCGTGCGCAGGAACGGCGAGTGGTGGAAGGCGCAGTCCCTGACCACCGGCCAGGAAGGCTTCGTCCCCTTCAATTTTGTGGCCAAAGCGAATAGCCTGGAGCCCGAACCGTGAGTGAGGTCTCGTCGTGGAGGGAGGATGGGAGCAGATCTAGGGATCCTGGAGCAGGGAGTGGGCCTGGGGTGGCGGTGAAGGCTTGAGGCCACGGAGGAAGATTCGACAACAGCCGACGGCCTGCGTTCGCTTCCGCCCTGCACAGCTGGTTCTTCAAGAACCTGAGCCGCAAGGACGCGGAGCGGCAGCTCCTGGCGCCCGGGAACACTCACGGCTCCTTCCTCATCCGGGAGAGCGAGAGCACCGCGGGTGAGCGGGCGGCGGCCTGGACCCGGCGCGGGGGTGGGGGCCGCGGGGTGAGCCAGAGGGGGGCGCGTGGGGTGAGCCCGAGGTGGGGCCGCGGGGTGAGCCGGAGTGGGGCGTGCAGGGTCAGCCCGAGGTGCGGGCTGTGGTGGCCGGCCAGACTCTGCGTTCTTTCGTTCCTTTATCCATCCATCCATTCATTCAGGATCGTTTTCACTGTCGGTCCGGGACTTCGACCAGAACCAGGGAGAGGTGGTAAAACATTACAAGATCCGTAATCTGGACAACGGTGGCTTCTACATCTCCCCGCGAATCACTTTTTCCGGCTTGCATGAACTAGTCCGCCATTACACCAGTGAGCCTGGCGGGACCCCTTCCCCGTACCCTATCGGCCCATCTTCCCTCAGTCCCCCTCGGGTGTCCCCCAACCATCTTTCGATTCGCTCCTCCATTCCCCGCAGTGGGTGAGGTGTGGAGCAGCACCCTACGGCCCCAAGTGTTTGGGTGACAGCCCCACACCTGCCTGCTAATCCACTTCCCCTGGATGGGGGCTTGGAGAAGTGGGGGAGGTGGTTTTTCTAGATGGGAGCTTGGAGAAGTGGCGGAGGCAGTTTCAATACGAGACCGCCTTCCCCACTCCCTTGTCCTCGCAGATGCTTCAGATGGGTTGTGCACACGGCTGAGCCGCCCCTGTCAGACCCAGAAGCCCCAGAAGCCCTGGTGGGAGGACGAGTGGGAGGTTCCCCGGGAGACGCTGAAGCTGGTGGAGCGGCTGGGGGCTGGACAGTTCGGGGAGGTGTGGATGGGTGAGTGTGGCCTCCAGGACTGCCTGGGAAGGGGGGAACAGGAGGGGCTGCAGAGGTGGTGAGAGTCCCAGGACAGCTGCCTGGCGACCCTCCCACTCCTTCCCTCCCCTGACCCAGGGTACTACAACGAGCACACGAAGGTGGCGGTGAAGAGCCTGAAGCAGGGCAGCATGTCCCCGGATGCCTTCCTGGCGGAGGCCAACCTCATGAAGCAGCTGCAACACAAGCGGCTGGTTCGGCTCTACGCTGTGGTCACCGAGGAGCCCATCTACATCATCACTGAGTACATGGAGAATGGTGGGTGCCGCCCGAGTTGCCGCGGGGGGACTCTGCTCTCCCCACCTTCCCTGCTGGAGGGTGGAAATACACCTTTTCTTCTGGCTCAAAGCTCAAGCAGTAAGGGTTTCTCAAGCTTTCCTGGCCCCTAAAGACTCACCTCCAGACATGAGAAGAAGGTGTATCCTCTGATCCTGTCTGGGGGCCAGCCTAAGGTGGCAAGAATGTTTTGGAAGACCATTCACCCCAGTCCTCCCTGACCTACCGTTCTGTTTGCCTTCTTCAAAGCCCTGCCTTGATCTCAGGATGCTTGATCTCAGAAAGCGCGTGAGTCCCCAGCCCAGTTTCTCTCCCTTCTGACCCTGAGCCTTGGGAAGCCCTCTGTTTCAGTTCCGAGTGAGCCTCCTATCCCTGCACCCGTCCTGGTCTGTTACTGGACAGAGCGAGAGCCCCAGGAAGACCCATACGAGTTTCTAGCCTCAGCTTTGTTCACACTAATTTCCTGTGTGACAGGCCAAGAGTCTGTACTGTCTCTGGTGCTCAATTTCCCCAAGTATACCAGCAGAAATCTAAATGGGTGCACCAGAAATAATACAGAGTATTCATCAAGGCCTCTAGAGTCTGAATGCCTGAGTCAGAATCCTGGCTTCATGATTTTTTTTTTTTTGAGATGGACTCTCACTCTGTCACCCAGGCTGGAGTGCAGTGGTGCAATCTCAGCTCACTGAAACCTCTGCCTCCTGGATTTAAGCAATTCTCCTCTCTTAGCCTCCTGAGTAGCTGGGATTACAGGTGCCTGCCACCACGCCTGGCTAATTTTTGTTATTTTTAGTAGAGATGGGGTTTCACCATGTTGGCCAGGCTGGTCTTGAACTCCTAACTTCAAGTGATCCACCCGCTTCGGTCTCCCAAAGTGCTGGCATCATGATTGTATGGCTTCATGATAATTACATCATGTCTCTCTGCTGTGGTTTCCTACTACAATAATGCATTAGTAACTTCCTCATAGGGTCTTGTGAGGATGAAAGAATTAATATGTATAGAACAATTAGAACTATGCTAACTTCCAGGTGCAGTGGCTCAAGCCTAAAACCCCAGCACTTTTGGAGGACAAGGTGGGTGGATCACTTAAGCCCAGAAGTTCAAGACTAGTCTGCAACATAGTGAGACCTCATTTCTACAAAAAGATTTCAAAAATTAGCCGGGTGTGGTGGTGTATGCCTGTAGTTCCAGCTACTTGGGAGGCTGAGGTGGGAGGATCGCTTGAGTCAAGGAGGTTGAGGTTGAAGTGAGCTGTAATTGCACCTCTGTACTCCAACCTGGGTAACAGATTGAGACTTTGTCCCTAAAAAACGTGGGGGGAAAAAAAAAGCACACACACACACACACACACAAAACAAAACTATGGCTATCATAGTAACTGATCAATAAGTTTGTTGCTGTTATGTGGCTCTGACAGTGTAAGATCTGTTCCTCTTCCAGGAAGGGAAACAAGCTGTTCATTGGCTAATGGGAAATGGCAAATAGATGATGTCATGCGTATCTTTTTTTTCTTTTTTGAGTCTCACTCTGTCCTCCAGGTTGGAGTGAGATCTCAGCTCACTGCAACCTCCGTCTCCCTCCTAGGTTCAAGTGATTCTCGTGCCTCAGCCTCCTGAGTAGCTGGGACTACAGGCACATGCCACTATGCCCAGCTAATTTTTGTATTTTTAGTGGAGACAGGTTTTCGTCTTGCTGTCCAGGCTGGTCTCGAACCCCTGACCTCAGGTGATCCGCCCGCTTTAGCCTCCCAAAGTGCTGGGATTATAGGCAGGAGCCACCACACCTGGCCGGAAAAGTAGAATTTTTCTAGCAGGCAGAGAGGCTTTGAGGTGAGAGCCTAGTGGTCTGAGTGCAGGATCTCAAAATTGTTAAAGTGTTTGAAGTCAAGGCAGAGTCGGGGAAAGAGAAGAAGCTATCAGTGTGGACCATGCAGAACTTTGGATACTAGTTGAGGAGTCTGGGTTCTACCTTATTGATGATGAAAAACCTACAGTTCTCTCCCACCATGCTCTACTGGAGCCCCTCCAGAAAAAAACCTTTACATATCCTGGACATCCTTACCCTGAACACACACTCCTCCATTCTCACTCTCCACTCTTCCTTTTCTTTTCTTTTCTTTTCTTTTTTTTTTTTTTAAAGATGGGGTTTCACCATGATGGCCAGGCTGGTCTTGAACTCCTGATCTCAGGTGATCCACCCACCTTGGTCTCCCAAAGTGTTAGGATTACAGGCGTGAGCCACTGCAACTGGCCACCTTTTCTTTTCTTTTTTTTTTTTTGAGATGGAGTCTCGCTCTGTCGCCTAGGCTGGAGTCCAGTGGCACAACCTTGGCTCACTGCAACTTCTGCCTCCCAGGTTTAAGTGATTCTCCTGCCTCAGCATCCAGAGGAGCTGGGACTCAGCTAATTTTTTGTATTTTTAGTAGAGACAGGGTTTCACTGTGTTAGCTAGGATGGTCTCGATCTCCTGACCTGATGATCTGCCTACCTCGGCCTCCAAAAGTGTTGGGATTACAGGCATGAGCCACTGCACCCAGCCCACTTTTCCTTTTATGTGTCAGTCACACTTCTAGATGCCCAGTTGGAGAAGAAGGGTCTGGGGACCTCCCCCTGGGAGAACTTGGGTCAGCAACTCTTGCTTCTGCCCACAGGGAGTCTAGTGGATTTTCTCAAGACCCCTTCAGGCATCAAGTTGACCATCAACAAACTCTTGGACATGGCAGCCCAAGTAAGGAGACTGAGGAGAGGCTGGGCAAGGGCACAGGCCAGTGGCTTGAGGACATCTGGCTCAGGACTGCTGATCTGTGTTTGGCCTGCAGATTGTAGAAGGCATGGCATTCCTTGAAGAGAGGAATTATATTCATCGTGACCTGCGGGCTGCCAACATTCTGGTGTCTGACACCCTGAGCTGCAAGATTGCAGACTTTGGCCTAGCACGCCTCATTGAGGACAACGAGTACACAGCCAGGGAGGGTAAGTGTGAGATTTAAGGATGGTCTGGGCCCTACAGGGTCTGGCCCAGCAGACCCAGGTGACCTCACTCTGCCTCCTCCGTAGGGGCCAAGTTTCCCATTAAGTGGACAGCACCAGAAGCCATTAACTACGGGACATTCACCATCAAGTCAGATGTGTGGTCTTTTGGGATCCTGATGACGGAAATTGTCACCCACGGCCGCATCCCTTACCCAGGTCAGAGCCAAAGGCAAGAACTGAAAGGGCGATGGGAGGGGCAGCAAGTCCATGTCTTCCCACTCAATTCTTTCCAGTCTCAGATTCTGAAACTTTGTAGCTGCATCTCCTCTATCCTCTCACGGGTGTGACTCCAACATCTTCAGGCAGATGCCACATCTCCCAGGGCTGGTTTCCATCTCTGTATCTCTCTTTACTAACCCCAGCTCTTTTCTTTTTTTTTTTTTTTTTTTTTTTTTTGAGACGGAGTTTCGCTCTTGTTACCCAGGCTGGAGTGCAATGGCGCGATCTCGGCTCACCGCAACCTCCGCCTCCTGGGTTCAAGCAATTCTCCTGCCTCAGCCTCCTGAGTAGCTGGGATTACAGGCATGCGCCACTATGCCCAGCTAATTTTTTTGTATTTTTAGTAGAGACGGGGTTTCACCATGTTGACCAGGATGGTCTCGATCTCTTGACCTCGTGATCCACCCGCCTCGGCCTCCCAAAGTGCTGGGATTACAGGCTTGAGCCACCGCGCCCGGCCGACCCCAGCTCTTTTCTTTAGTTCCGGCCCAGGCAGCCTAGTATGGTAGAAGAGGATCTAGCTCAGGAGGCAAGAGGCCTACCTTTTTTTTTTTTTTTTTTTTTTGAGATGGATCTTGCTCTGTCGCCCAGGCTGGAGTGCAGTGGCACGATCTTGGCTCACTGCAACCTCTACCTGCCGGGTTCAAGCGATTCTCCTGCCTCAGCCCCCGAGTAGCTGGGACTGCAGGTGCCTGCCCACTACCCTCAGGTAATTTTTTGTGTTTTGGTACAGACGAGGTTTCACTGTGTTAGCCAAGATTGTCTGGATCTTCTGACCTTGTGATCTGCCCGCCTGGCTTCCCAAAGTGCTGGGATTACAGGTGTGAGCCCCAATCCTGCCTGAGGCCTAACTTTTCTTTTTTTTCTTTCTTTTCTTTTTTTTTTTTTTTTTTGAGACGGAGTGTTGCTCTTGTTACTCAGGCTGGAGTGCAATGGCGGACCTCGGCTCACCGCAACCTCGCCTCTGGGTTCAGGCAATTCTCCTGCCTCAGCCTCCTGAGTAGCTGGATTACAGGCACGTGCCACCATGCCAGCTATTTTTTTTTGTATTTTTAGTAGAGACGGGGTTCACCATGTTGACCAGGATGGTCTCGATCTCTTGACCTCGTGATCCACTGCCTCGGCCTCCCAAAGTGCGGGGATTACAGGCTTGAGCCACCGCGCCCGGCGAGGCCTAACTTTTATTAGCACATCCGCCACTGCTGCTAACTTTCTTGTTTGGCTTTGATTGAATCATTCCTTTTTTTCCCATCGTTAAATATGAGATAAGAGACTAGGCCAGGTACAGTGGCTCATGCCTATACCCAGAACCTTGGGAGACCAAGGTCGGGGAATACTTGAGCCCAGGGGTTTAAGACCAGCTGGGCAACATGTTGAAACCTCATCTCTACAAAAACAAAATTAGCCAGGTTTTGTGGCATGTGCCTGTAGTTCCAGCTACTCAGGAGGCTGAGAAAGGAGGATCACCTGACACAGGGAGCAGAGGTTGTAGTGAGCCAAGACCATGCCATAGCACTCCAGCCTAGGGCAACAGAGCAAGACGCTGTCTCAAAAAAATAAAAATTAGCTGGGCATGGTAGCACACATCTGTAGTTTCAGCTATTTGGGAGGCTGAGGTGGGAGGATTGCTTGAGCTCAGGAGTTTGAGGGTGCAGTGAGCCCATGATTGCTCCATTGCACTCCAGCCTGAGCAACGGAGGGAGACCTTGCCTCAAAAACAAACAAGCAAAACACCAAAAAGAGAGAGAGAGAAAGAGAGAGAGAGAGAGAAAATTGAGAGATCATTTGTAAAAGAGGCTGACTCATAGTAGATGATCAGTAATACACTGACGCCCCTCACCATCTCCTGGACAAAACCCTTTACCCCTGAATTCAGCCAAGACAGGGATGGATTTTAACCAACTTTCGAAGAAACTCTGGGGAAAGGAAATGGAGTGCGAAGAGGAGTAAGGAGGCCATGGAGCACAGTGGCTAAATTTGTAGAGACCTGCCTAGGTCGTTTTCGCTCCCCACATGCTCCCAGATGCAAGTTAACAGTTGACCCTTTGCTCGTGTTTCTTTGAGGGAGAGGATAAGACAAAAAAACAAAAAACCTTGGAGAACAGGTAGAAAAGTAAAAGCTGAGGGGGGGGCTTGTTTTTTTTCCCTTTTCACTTCACTGGGCTTGGGTTGTTGCCTCCCTATTTGTAATTATTATATTTACTTAACCAATGCCTTTTACTTCATAATTTAACCCGAACCACACAAAAAACGCGTCCGGTTCGACTGGTAAATGCTGGCTGGAAAACCACCCTCCAGTCTAATCCTCCCCAGAGGTGCTAGGGGTGGGTCTCATGGGTCTCTCGTCCCGATCTATTCTCTGCCTCACGCCCTCCCTTCCCCATCTCCTCTCTGCTTCCTGTCTCAATGAAAAATCCAATTACCTCATTGCTAATATTATTTGCTACCTCCTCACATCATAATCATAATTCTGCCTATATTAATTGCTATATTAAATAAATTTTTGGACTCCTCCTTCTGTAGCTCATCAAGAGGCAGGGGGAAAATCTAACAGTCTAAAATAAACATAAACCCTAGGAAATGTCCCTATTAGAAGCATACGACCAGGCAGGATGAAAACATGATGATGAATGGCAACTGGAGAACTATAGCATATAATCAGGGGTACAGGCAGAGAATAACAAACATAGAGGGAGAAATGGGGACCGATTGTTTTAAAAACCCTGGTAGGCAGCTGTGACG